ACTAGAACTACATATAAAGTTTGTAGAAAAGGAGCCCAAGATCAGTGTTATAACCTGAAGCCTGATCCTGGTAGTTGGGCCTTACAAATCCGAACACATAGAACAAGAACGAGCTCTAAGGACCAGGCACTATTAGGGATCTCTCAATGGAAATCCAACCCACAGTCCAGTTTTAGCGTTACCTTTGATGTTTGTAAAGCAGCTAATTATTGGGTTGTAATATATGGTTGCGGAGGGATCAATCAAATCCACAGCTATATCCCAAACCATAAGTATTTGTGCCCACCAGATGGGTGTGCAGTCTCCACGGTCAAATGTAAGAGGTGGTCATGTATTAAGTGGCATACCCAAGACCCAAAGGAGATGGAGCACGCCTTGTTTGAAAAGACATAACAGACAGAATGGTCAAACTAGCTCACATTTCGGTACAAACCTGGAATGGATTTAATTTAGAAGACATATTTTCAGGATGGTGGCCAAAGTTACCAGGCCTACAAATCATCATAGTTATAGCAATCTTGTTAATCCTAGGATGTATTTTGATTCCCTGCTTACTCCTTTGTGTTATAGCAATGATTCAAAGAATCTCAGAAAGTACAGCCCAATTAACTGCAAAACATGAAACAATGTTAGCTTTATGGGAATATAAAGTATTGCCCTCTAAAGATCCTGAATTAGAGGACGAATAATGGAAGTTTAAGCGAGAAAACTTCCAAAAGGGGGAATAATGTGGTATAATAAGGTAGAATAATGAACAATTGCTGGAATAATTATTTGTCTGCATAATTACTAGAATAATGATGTAATGCATAATCACTGGGAAAATTCTGTGTCAGTAATATGTGACTAACCAAATGTGCATTGCACATGGATACTTTGTATGAAGCAAACCTTCCATTGTGTGCCCGTGAGAAACGATCCTAATGTATTACAATGTGTATTACAATGTGTAGTCCTTTGTTCCTGAGAAAAGGAAAGTATAAAACTGAAGTCTGATCCCGCCCTCCTTGTTCAGAATTGCTTGTCTCCATTGCTTCTGAACCTGCGCAAATAAATCTCTCTGCTAAAACCCTCTGGCATTCGTAAGAGTCCTTTCGTTTTCCACAAGAGAACCCTAAATAGCCCCCTTGCTCTCCGTTGTGCACTTGATAGAGGGAAAGGAGATGAAGATGCTCTGTGCCACCCAACTTGATATCCAACTGCTTCTTGTTTGGAAGAACATGAAGACTACAGTCAATTTCATTGAGAAGAAAGAAGGTTTCTTCTTACCAACGCCAGGAGGAACCCAAGTCACTAACTGCCACTTAACCTCTATTTATACAGATCACCGCTAGGTGGCAGCCAATAGAATTAAAGCAGTATTTTCCACTTAAACACAAGCTAACAAGCATGTAGACAGACAGTCTGGAGTTTAAACAGACACAACCGTTTGACCGTTTCAAACATTTTCCAAGTAATTCACATCAATACATAACAGATACAATCACTAATAATCTTCCAGAAAGCTCCCTAATGATAAATCTTCCTAACTTCATCTTTTTCATTTTTTTCCAGTAGCAAATGAAGGTCAGATTATATAATTAATGCAGGCATGTCAAACTGCCGGCCTGCGGGCCAGATGCGTCACGCCAAAACCACACCCACCCCATTACCAGCAATGGGGGAAAAGTCGTGATACGTCATGCGACGTCATGTGACATTGCAAGTTTGACATGCCTGGATTAATGAAAAATAAACTTGAATTTAATCCACTCGTTAATGTTAACTTACTGCTTCCAGTGAAACAAAGATTACTGTAATTAAAAACTGGGAATACCTGTCTTTAAACAATTATGTATTTCTTTTTTCAATATGCAAATGGCGCCTCAGGAAAAAGCTTGGCACTATATCATTAGATCTCTCTTTCTTTATGTGATGACCAATATTTCTGGATTAGATTTTCTGAAAGGATTTCCAAATTTTCAAATCAGCTGCTTTGCTCTGCTTATTTTGATGGATAATTATATATCCTAGTTCATTTAATCTGGAGGTTAAGACACCAGGCTAAAATCAGGACTATGAGTTCTAGTTCTGCCTTAGACATGAAAACCAGCTGGATGATTTTGAGCCAGACATTCTTTCTCTCAGCCCAGGCCTGTTGTTGTGGAGACAATAAAAGGAACAAGTATTATGTTTGCCACCTTGAGTTATTTATTTATAACAATAACAGTAATAAAGTAATAAAAGTAATTTATAAACAGTAATAAAGGTGGAATTTTTAGAAAATAAATAAAAACAAAATTTAAAATATATATTAACTGGTATTATAATTTTAGTTTTTTCAAAATAGCTTTAAAACTTAAATATGTAAACCAGAGATAGCTAGAGAAAGTAGAAAAAGGAAGGAAGGAAGGAAGGAAGGAAGGAAGGAAGGAAGGAAGGAAGGAAGGAAGGAAGGAAGGAAGGAAGGAAGGAAGGAAGGAAGGAAGGAAGGAATTTCCTACTCTAACTAAAACCTACTTCCTTACTAAAAAAAATCATATAGGCACAATCATATAGCTTTAACCTCAGCATCAGTCAAATACATTTGATCAAAAAATGTAGCAACTATTCAAAAGTTACAATATTACCAAAAGTGATCAAAAATATTTTATCATATCTGTCTTTGGCCTAAAGAGCACTTAGTCCTAAACTATTAAAGTGTATTTTTTTATTTTCCAAAGAGAACCATTTTCTTGAATGAAAATTGTAGGACATAATTCTATATTGTGCCATATTGTGCCATAGTTATAGAGAAATATCTGTTTCTTTGTACATTATTTCTTCAAATGTAAAATAAAACAAAGACAAATTATCCACGTGAGATTTAAAATAACATTTTTTTCTTAAAAATTCATGGCAAATGTACATTTATATGTGTCCCATTTAATCTTTAAATTCATATTTAATGTTATTAAATTCAAAATGTTTTGATACAGAATAATTCTCTTTTATGAATATGGATTAAAGTTAAACTGGGAAAGATTGGGATGGGAAGGGAGGAGAAGGAATTCCATGAGATAAATATCAGTAATTAAATAAAATCCCCCCAAAAAATTCATCCAGCAGCCATAGATCCAAACATTAATCCATTAAACATGGATCCTTTTAGATATGAAAATTCCATTTCATCAATAAGCATTTTGAAAAACATGTTTTGATTGGCATGATGAAAGACAGAACTTACATTAATGTTGCTTTCTTTTCTTTCATTCTTCTCATTTCAAACCCAGCACACAATATTCCTGATGAGATACAGATTTGTTACCAATGTCCTCTCCTAAATGGTACGTTTTCTTCCCACTAACAAGTTTGAGAACCTCCCTTTATAAACCGTAGACACTTTCCAGCTGTAGCAACCTGCTGAGTGTAGCAGCTATTTGATCATATTTACACCCTGTTTGCTGATGTCTTTACTATTATTATTATTATTATTATTATTATTATTATTATTATTATTATTATTATTATTATTATTATTATTATTATTATTATAGTCTTCCGACTCAATCCAATAGGAAGACGTCCCTATCAAACAGGTTCCTTTTATTATAGTAGCATATAAGGCAGCATATCTGCACTTTCTGCTTTGTTCCTCGCCAGTATGAGCCACTTCATGTTTCCTGAGAACAGAAATCAATGACGTCTCCTTCTTATTCAATACAATTCAGTTCAGATACAAATAGTCTCTTGAATTCTTCTAACAATGCTTTAATTGTATTATGGTTAATTTAATAGGTGAATTTGTAACTGTTGAATTAACGTTCATTTTTTTTTTTAAGTTGATTTGCTTTGAAAACGATTTCAGGATCATATAATTTATGTCACGTTCTACTCTTATTCAGAGAGCTTTAGAATTATAGACAGAGGACAAAAGAAGAGAAAAAGAGCAACAATAGGCCAAATATTAATTTTTGTGGCTGACCACTCAGATCTCCTTGACTAAATTTCAGTTATTTATTTGTATCCCACTTTTATTATTTTTACAAATAACTCAAGGCAGCAAACATACCTAATGCTTCTTCCTCGTATTTTTCCCACAACAACTGGTGAAGTGGGTTGGGCTGGGACAAAGTGATTGGTCAACCAGCTAGCTTTTATGGCTAAAGCAGGGCTTGAATTCATGCTCTCCTACTTTCTAGCCTGGTGCCTTAACCAATAGACCAAACTGGCTCTCATTGGGTTTAGTAGGTAACCATGTTAGTTCTAAGAATTGCAGTCTCTCGAGCACATGTGATCAAGGCAGGGAAGTCTGTTCTAGTGCATCAGCATGTTTTGTTTTACCTTTTAAGTATTTGGGAACGTTATATTATTTGGAATCACATGAAAGGAGCCCCCACCAGGCATCCTGCAGGCAACGGTGATGTCATCAGCTAATCCTTTCAGCCCAGAAGCACCTTAAAAGGTGCTTCCAACACAAACAGGACAAGATGTGTAAACAATAGCAATAGCACTTAGACTTTTATACCGCTTCACAGTGCTTTACAGCCCTCTCTAAGCAGTTTACAGACTCAGCATATGGTCCCCAACAAACTGGGTCCTCATTTTACCAACCTCGGAAGGATGGAAGGCTGAGTCAACCTTGAGGTGGTCAGGATCGAACTACTGAACTGCTGGCAGCTGGCAGTCAGCAGGAGTAGCCTGCAACACTGCATTCTACCACGGCTGTAAGGTTGGCTATACTGCATTTTCTCCATTAGGGATATGATTTCCGTGTATTCATCCCACTCAGAGTTTGAAAGAAAAGTAGTTTAGGAGCCATTGTAAAGATGAAGTAAACTCTGAGTAATGCGTAAATAGAATAATTTATGCATCCAAGTTAGATGACTTGTCATGTACGGAAAACAAGTTAATAGAGATAAGAGTATGAATTTGCAGGATGGTCTTTCATTTTGTATGTAATCTGAAAGTTTATTAAAAATGGAAAAATCAATGGAAAACAAACAACAAATGAACTTCTTATCATTACTGACAAACATTTCTCAAGGATTCCTCTGTAGTAAGTCCAATATTTCATAATACAATTGATCAGGTGCATCTATACCATACATAAAATCCAGATGGTTCCACTGAGGAATAAATTTGTGGGAAATAAGGTTTTGAATTTGGGGGATTAATTGATTAACATCATCAGGGTCAGAAAGCCAATCATTTCCACCATTCCAAATTGCCGTTGGTACAGTCATAGCTGATATATTGTATTCAGGAGGCAAATCCTGTTTTTAAAAAATGAAAAAGAAAATGTGATATAGTCCTACTTCTCAGACTCAGACAAAGATATTATTAGCCAAATTGTGTCCAACTTTGCAAGAAGGTAAAAGAAAGAAAATGGAATTGAATTCTCGAGTATTCATTAATGAGTTCTGGAGAATGTTGTGTACTGACATTCCTTCCAAGGAGCATTTTCTCATTTTAATTCAGGATGCAATGCTTCCACCCATACTACTGAGTCTCAAAAGACTTTTCCTGGTTGACCTACCTTCATATTTCATCATTTTCCTTCTGTCGATTATATTTTATGTTAAAGGTAGTCATGATATATAAGGGAGGTATACTCTGAAAAGCTCCAGATGGGTACAAAATGGTGAAAGGTACCTTTTTCCAAATTCAAATTCAATGCATGGTTTTGTTTGTGTGTGTGTGCGTGTGTGTGTGTGTGTGTGTGTGCAACAATACTTGAAGACATTTGGGAAAGTCTGTTATCTCAAGGCCTATTTGGTTTTCTGATGCATACATGCATAAGGCAGAATTTCAAGGCAGAATTTTGCATAATCCACTTTCAGTCTTAAACCTTATATCACGGGTGTCAAACTCGCTGCGTCACATGACGCGTTGCAACATATCGCGACTTTTTTTGCATTGCCGGAGCTGGGGTGGGTGTGGCCTCTATATGATGTAACTGGCTCACAGACTGGCAGTTTGACACCCCTGCCTTATATTATAACTATCCATACTTCTTAAGGCCATTCCCATTGTATCTATTGCATCTATTTACCTACTTATTCATTTGCTCATTCCTTCCTTCATTCATTCATTTTGTAGTACTTATAACATGTCCCAATGCCAATAGATAACATCAAACAAAATAATGCTACTTAAAAACAGTATGATAAAAATTAAAAGTCCAGAGAAAACCTGTGACAGAGACATGCTGTCAATCATCCAGGACTAAAAGCATGTTGGAATAAAACTGCTCTAACATGTTTATGGAATTGCAGTAAGGGGAGAGGGCTTCGCATAGGAGAATATTCAAAAGGAACAGTCAATACAAGTAGTCTAACCCACACCCCACAAACCTCACAGAGGGATGGAGTTTGCAGGTAGCTTGTTCTCGATGACTGAACCAAGCAAATTTAGTTCTGACAAAGGTTTGCCTGAGATACCCTGGTACTATATAAGTTAGGGCCTTCACCACCTCTTTGAAGCAGGCCCAGAAGAATACTGTCAGTGCTATGAATTCAGTAGAGATGCCATTCTTTTTAATAATGTTGTGAGCCGCCCTGAGTCCTTCGGGAGAAGGGCGGGATACAAATTGGAATAATAAATAAATAAAAATTCTAAACTGGCAGGCTTGCTGTCACATTTTGTACCAGCTGTAGCCTCCAAGTTGTCTTCAAAGGCAGCCTCACATGGAACATGTGCGATCAAAGGCATGAGTTACTGGGGTTGGGCCAATGAAGAAAAGCCCTTGGGATCTGACCTGGGGTCTATTTCATTGTGCCAAAATTTGTGAACCAACCAGTACTTTTACTCTTCCTCTCCACTTATCTGTTTTTAGTTCACTTTATGTGCATTTTCACAGAGATTGAAAAATGGAGAGAGGGAGGGAAGGAGGAATTGCTCTTGGTTGCATCAATGGCTGAATTCCTGGATGAGGCTGGTTGTGTGCGCAGTAGCCAAAAGCCAGGATAAGGCTATTCTCAAACAGATCTACTGAGCTTCAGCACTGGGGATGAAACTCCTTCAATGCAATTCTGGTTACATAATAATAATTTGACTCAGCTTCCAAACAGAAAGGAGAGCATAAAATCACATGGGGACTAGACGCTTGTAGAAGCTGACCTAATGTCCAATACATATCATTATTGTACCATATTGAAACAACTATCTGCTGGAAAATGCTTTACCTGTTCATAATGAAATTTATTTCCAAACCTTCCATAGTCGTAAGCCTGACGTTTACCACTGTTGATGGCCTGCAAATATAAAGAAATCTCAAATGAATGTATTCATTTTTTCAATAGAAATGAAGAGCTAGAATGTCACAAGATGAACACAGATTCTATGTTTAAAGGTATGTTCAAACCTAAGCTACATATACGGTATTCTCTTGAAAGAAGATAATTTATGGAAATATCTTCAATGGAATTATAATATAATTGTAACAGTTTTTAAAAATCTGAAATTTTAGGAGGTCCTTCTGATTGCTTAGTTTATGCCTAAATCCAGCTGTGCTAACTTTGCTGAAGCCTCTCTACTGGTGTATGTGTTGGAAATGGAGGTAGTGGTGTTAGTATAGCAATAATCTCTTTCTTTTCTACTAAGAATCAATGAATTTGGAGAAAGAGAACTTCTTGTTGTTGTTGTTGAAAATTTCTAATGGTTGGAGTGTGTGGAAGTAGTGGATTTCTTCAGACAGCCAAGAATTTGGGTACAAATGTCATGTTTTCATTGTACAATATGTAAGTCAACCAAAAACGTATAATAGGGATGGCAAAAAAAATGTATGTTTGTATATATGTAATAAAAATTAACTATCTCTCTCTCTCCCTGAGAATAAGGTAGTAAAACAAAAGTCTTTTCAGTACAGAAACAAAAAGTTTTGAGAAACTGTAAAGGAGATGAATGTATTTTGCCTAAAAGAGCTACACATGGAGAAACGCATTTTGGAGAAAGTATAGGAAAGGAAGTAAAAAGCAGAAGAATCCTATTTTTGCTCCAAAAATCAGAATCTCCTTTTTGCTCTATCTTTTCTGTTGGGAGTAGAATCAAGCAAACAAGCCAGCTCTTATCAATGTATAGACCAGATCAGTGTATTTTCAACCTTGGCCACTTAAAGATGAGTGCCCAAAGTTGAGAAACACTGGCTAGATCACGTACTGTTCTTGTACAGAATAGGAAAGAAGGAAAAGGTGAAAGTAATGAACTTAAAACATGATAAGAAGTGCTTTGAGGATGTTGAAAAAAAAACCCAGGAGTATCTAGGATTGTGCTTCCAGGACAATCAGAGAGAAAGGCAGCCCAATTGATAGGGGAGACATGATAGCAGCATTCCAGTATCTGAAGGGCTGCCACAAGGAAGAGGGGGTCAGGTTGTTCACCAGAGCACCAGAGGGAAGGACTAGAAACAATAGTTGGAAACTGATTAAAGAGAGAAGCAACCTGGAATTAAGGAGAAACTTCCTGACAGTGAGGACAATCAACCAGTGGAACAGCTTAGCCCCAGAAATCGTGGATGCTCCATCACTGGAGATTTTCAAGAAGAGACTGGACAATCACCTGCCTGAGATAGTATAGGTTCTCCTGCTTGAGCAGGGGGCTGGACTAGAAGATCTCCAAGGTCCCTCCCAGCTCTGTTCTGTTCTGTTCTGTTCTGTTCTGTTGTCCTGTCCTGTCCTGTCCTGTCCCATCCCATTTATTTATTTATTTATTTATTTATTTATTTTTTAAATTTCTACCCCGCCCTTCTCCCAACGGACTCAGGGTGGCTTACAGCCATTTAAAACAATACATAATACAATAAATACTAAATTTAAAATGTAATTAAAACAAAATATTAATTGGCCATTTCTTTTTAAAATTGTTTTAAAAACCAGATTAAAATATCCCTTAGGCCAGACCTGCTAGCTTAAATAGCCATGTCTTGAGGGCGCGGCGGAAGGAGGGGAGATCCGGAATCACCCGGATCTCTGGGGGTAGTTCGTTCCATAGGGTGCGGGCTCCAACCGAGAAGGCCCTCCCCCTGGGGGTCGCCAGCCGGCACTGTCTGGCTGACAGCACCCTGAGGAGACCCTCTCTGTGGGAGCGTATCGGCCGATGAGAGGTAATCTGCGGCAGAAGGCGGTCTCGGAGATAACCAGGTCGCTACGGTACCTCGCGAAATTTCTACTATTAGTTGTGGAACTTCGCGTGGGCGAAAGCCACCGGCAGCCAGTGCAGCTCGCGCAACAGCGGCGTTACATGGGAGCGACGAGTCACTCCCATCACCGCCCGCGCGGCTGCATTCTGGACTAACTGGAGCCTCCGAGTGCTCCTCAAGGGGAGCCCCATGTAGAGAGCATTACAGTAGTCCAGGCGGGAGGTGACAAGAGCATGGGTGACTGTGCGCAAGGCGTCCTGGTCCCATCCCAACCCATCCCATCCCATCTGATCTCATCCCATTCTATTCTATTCTATTCTATTCTATTCTATTCTATTCTATTCTATTCTATTCTATTCTATTCTATTCTATGATAATAGCCTCAAAGACTATAAAAATGTCTCCAGCATGAGGAGTCTTCTGAGTTTCACATGGCTCTGCAGAGTTTAAATCAGGATACCTGAATTTCCAAAACTTCCCAAAGAAGGGAGAAAGAGATGTGTGATTCTTGGACCAGGTATTCCCTTGGCTATTTCCTAGCCAGACATCATATCCAGCGTCTGCTAGCATGAAAGCCAGACTATTATGAGGAAAATTTTGGTACCAATTGGCAGCATCCACCAGCAAGCCATGCTGTAGAAATACTACTCACTTTGGACCTGAAACAAAGCAATGAAAAAGGCATCCTGACATCTGGTGCTTCAGATAATCTTTGTAGGACTAATATTGGATGTTATTTCAAAATTTTAATTTGTAGCAGAACTATTCCAGCCGACTTATTGCTTCACTCTCCACACTCACAGAGAGGCTTTGAATCCAGAATTTCGTTCTTTGCTGAGACGCACATTCACCTTACTATTGTAAAATGAGCCAACTTAGTAAGCATACAAACTTGTAGTTTTGTTGTTTTCTCTGCCATGTGGAATTCTGAATAAGTTGAGAATATAGCCATCTTTTGTAATGACATAATGTTCCTCAAGAGGATATTTCCAGTACAGGATGAGCTGTTTCTACCAAAGACGAAGAAGACAAACACAAAATCAGTTTATCATACTGATAAACCTGATGTTATGAATAAACCCAATAGACTATTTCAATCTAAAGAAATGCTAAGAGGTATTGATGTGAATGATAGGATGAATAATATACTAATACAGTAACCAACACTATAGATAACTATATATAGTTAGAAATAACACTGAAGACAAACGAGTGACTCCTGGGTATATCCATAATAGGAAACAAAACGTGAGCACCAGGAGGTTGTAAAACAGTTAAAAGTTTTAATAAAACATTAAAAACCTTTAAAAGAATATTAAAAAGGACCTAGCTTTCGTTGGATCCTACCAACATCGTCAGGGTAAAGAATAACTCAGTGGGAGAAACCATTTATAGGCCAGCCAA